AAGGTCTTCTCAATGATACCACTTATATTTATTATGATATTTCTCTGAATGCCTTTAATAACAGATAAGAAAAACTGTGGCTCAAAAATGCTAGTATTCATAAGTATACTAAAACATACAAAAAAGCATGAAAACCTGCTTTAAAGAAAGTAGTTACACTGGCTAATAAAAATAAAATCTTAAATGGAGTCAACTCTGACTTTTAAAGCATTATTTAAAAGTTTTGTTTATCTTCACAAAGATGCAAAAAGAATTAGGGCCTTCACAGCTTCTATTACTATTTCCAAAATCTTGTTTTGTCTATAATATTTAGCAGAAGCCTAACACATCACTCTCCCTGTCCACAGATCATTGACATTTAAGATACTCTGGGCTATATATAGAGTGCCAACTCTTTTTGCCATGGGTTACAGAGATTCACTCCAACAAGGTCCTCCAAAAGAAAAACAGGACATCAAATTAAATGTGCCCTGACCCTTCTATGGGTATCCCTAATCTTTATATCACAGATGTCCCAGACAGCCAACACCCTAGGCTTTCCTCCGCCACTGCTGGTGCTTGCTGCTTGAAGAATTTTACAGTGAAATAAAAGCATCACAGGGACAGCTGGTAGTGACAGCCATGTTGTTACTCCTACTTGAGAAAGTATCTTTCCTTTAATGGAAAAAAAACACTTCAGTTATCATCCAAGGACTCCGAAAAAAAGAAAGAAAAGAAAGAAAACAAATCAGTGCCACTGCAAATCCTTAAGTGATAAGAATACCTGTGACACAGTTCCTTAGCTATCTGTGTCAATGATTTGTCCCAAGTGAGACTCAAATACTAAGGACTACAAGTGAGGAAACTTCTGGGAGCCAGTAAATACAACTGAAATACTTCAGACTAGAGAGCAAGATGTTAACATCTTCCGTAAAAGGTGTTTTGTGGCTGCCGAATGCCTAACTCTGGACCTTGCACTTGTGAGGCAGGCGGCGGCACCACTGAGGTAAATCTCCAGACCTTGAATGTCTTTATAAAACAATTGAAAAAAAAAATCTACTTTTACTTTTTTTTTTTTGGTATCGGGGATCAAACTCTGGACCTTGCACTTGCGAGGCAGGCACAGCACCACTGAGCTAAATCCCCAACCTACTTTTTATATTTAAGAAAGCAAGCTGTTGCTGAAAATGTGCAGCTCTTCAGTCAAAGACTTCAATTTGAAACTCAAGGATATTATCCAACTCTATTAGCCTCAGGAAGGTAACACACAATTTATCATTCAAACCAGAACACTTTTGAGAATAAATAAAAGGATTTTAATAATATTCCTGGGCAACAGGTGTAAAGTAAGATTGTTCCAGACCAAGAGAACATGTCATTCATCTAAGTAAATACTACCTATGCCACTGGAGTCTGAGTATCAAACAAATGCTCAGCACAGTCCCATGCATAAGATATCTATTTATATTGGGATATTCTTCATTTAGAAATGATGTCTCATAAATATGTTTAATGGCCAAGGTCAAGTATTCTCCTTGAAACAATGCATTTCACCAGTGATCTACAATGTAACACTTTCAAAACAGTACTCAAAAAAAGAAATACTACATGAAAAACACTTTCTCTCAATCTACAATGTACTGAATGTACAATGTACAATGCTCTCTAGAAATATAATTAATATTATTTCATTCTATCTCCAAAATAGGTCAAGAATTTCCTGGTGTTTTTACACTGCTCACCTACACTGTTGAAGGCTCAAAAATAACAAACATTTCCCCACTTATAAGTAGATACTGTAATCCTCAAAGAGAGTTTCATACCATCACAGCTATGAAAACTGCTTGCAGCACGTGCCATTTCAACCTCCTTCTACAGTAGAGTTCATATCTCTCTGAGCAGCAGGTTCTGCAGTTCTTCAGTTAATTTCCTTGTTGTTGGGCACCAACGATCCAGAATTCACACAGGTGTGTTACATGACAGCTGCCAACATGAAATGCCAGGACTCTACCATCTGCTTCCCCACCTCTGCAGTGGAGTTTTTAAGGATCAAACATAGCTCCGCTCATTAAAAATACATATATTCTCTCAACACACCTAGATTCATGCCCATTACATGCCAGTCACACTAGCAGCACACTTGTACTCATTCACTCTCCTGTGCACCACACCCTTTTGAGGAATCAGTACGTGTGCATGCGTGTGTGCATGCTTGCATGTGTGTGTTAGGATGAAGTAGATGAAGGCCTACCTAAAAACATACACACAAAACTTGAACTTTTTACACAAGGCATGGGTTCTGGCACAGGAATTTCTACAGTTACAATCTAAGTTATATGTCTGCACATGTTCATTTTAGTGTAAAATAAACAGATTACCGGGACTTGAGAACAGATATACCTACCATGCTTAGTATCAAACTCACAAATGTACATTCATATAAATCTACATATATATATAAATTTTCATATTGTTGCTAAAATAAACTCTCAAAATTCCCTTAATACAACGATTTACCTATGTTTCACGGTAAATGGAGACTAAAGTAGCTGCTGCTTTTAGCATCTTCTGCTGACAATTTATATTTTCAAAAGCAAACACAACTAAAATTTTGCCTATTCAAACCCATTTATCAATACTTCTGAAATGGTTTCAAATACTAAACTAATAATTCATCTTAGTTTTAATTTCCAGACAACTCAGTATCTACAGAAAAGAGTATTTCACTGTGTATTATAGCTATTTGATTCTGAATTATGTATTTCTCCAGTCTAAGAATAAACCAGCAATTAATAATTGCTAAGAAATTACTGGAATCTTCAGGGGGCTAAAAGTTGATACTCCTGATCTACGTAATCATTTATATTTTTAATTAGGCCAATGACACAGAGCAAAATCCAGCTTATGCATGAAACATTATCACCAGAAAACCACAGGGATCAATGAACAATATCAGTGCAATATCTAAGTGAAAGTAATGTGCAACTATCTGGCCCATCAGAAAAATAGGTATATTATTACAAGCACTTTTTAAAATCACTTGTACCATTCTACCTGGGCAAAATAATGAGAAATGCAAAAATATTCATCTCTTCTGAGAATAAACAATTACTACAGTGGTAGGGTAAAAAGTCAGTGATATTTTTCTATTACAATTGCTAAACTGTGAGAGGGCCCTATTACAATATCATTTCAGTATACAGACATATCACACTTGGTTTTCCATATTCTGTTCTATGCCACCACAAATAATAACTCTCCAAATTTACATAATGTATTTATACAACAGGGAAATGAAGAGTTCAAAAATTGTACCTTCATTTAAATTGACAGCAAATTGCTACAATATATTATACTTACTGCCTCTTTAATTTCACAGGAGAAAACATGTATCTGAAATTCTTCTGAACCATGGGAGCTCTCTGTAAAAGCAAAGCAATTGCTCTCTTTTGTCCCATCATGTCCACGTGCACAGAATAAGACCTTATAGATTGGGAAAGATGCTATCTCCATATTTCTGGATTGGTCAATGATTCTGCAAAACAATGACAAAAGAACTGGATAAAATATTAAGTATAAAGACAAAGGCAAATAGTTCTATTATGCAAAAATATGCCACATAAACATAATGGCCTTGAAATCACAAAATTAAACTGGTAATAATAATGAAAAAAACCTTACACACGTGCATACACACATACAAACACACCACACACATTTTTCATTTTCTTTTGAAAATTTCTTCATTCTTGTGTCTCCTAAGACCCATCTCATGTACTCCAAAAAGCAGTATACAATGTCTTTTAAAAAATCTATTATTCAAAGACCCGAGTTCAATACCCGGTAACAAAAAAAAAAATCTATTATTGCTCATCCCTAAAGTCTAGTCTTTTTCTGTCAAAAGAAATGCTGGTATAGAACAGCACAGACCATCCCTGGAAAGCACACTTCTTTTCAGAGCAGCACCTGTAATAAGTTTACTTAACCCCCAAACCACAGTATAACTGAAAACTAATTTAAACCCTGCCACCCTGCCCCCACAAAGATCAGGTGGTTCCAATGACAGCCCTCAACAACAGAATAGAACAGGTGAAAGGAGTTCATGAGATTCAGAAGCAAGTAATTCTCTAGCTTTTACTACACACCTCCTAAGCCTAAACATTCAAGGTATCTTCAAAACCTCAAGCTGAGAAAGTGAAGGATGGACTGAGACTATGGGAAAGCAATATTTAGTTACAGGGCCAAGTAAAAACACTAAATCTTTGTGTCAAGGTGTGGCTGGCAAATGGAAACTAAACAGAAATACAAAAAGACACTTTTGACATTTTTAGGAAATACAAATCAATATTTTAAAAATACTTCCCTGAACCGGCGGGTGCGCGACCTCCCGGACTGCGTGACACAGACCCAGCAAGGACCCAAAGACCCCAGAGGGGGTCTCTTCAGCTGCCTGCCTGCCTGAGATCACCCGGTGGGTGCGCGACCTCCCGGACTGCGCAACAACAGACCCAGAAAGGAAGGTATCCACGCGGGCGCCCTTGAAACACCCCCATGACCTCCCACCCCCCGTTCTCAAACCTCCTGATTGGGCCAGTCCTTAGACCAACTCTGCAGAGGCATAGGTTCTCATGAAGGGTAGTTTTCTGAGCTCCCAACTTTGAACATCTTTAAAGAAAGGGCAGGGGAAACCTGTAATAGAACTGAGTGGAGTTCAACCCTGAGGGTAGGGAAACTCAAGTTAGGCCTTGTAGACTGTGTTCAGTCTCAGTCGTGGCGAACTGCCATTGGCTAGCTGAGACCAGGGGATTCGGTTGTGCATATGGCTGTACATGTGGTATAATATGAGAATGGAGACAGTCTGAAAAAGACCCTTCAAATTCTTTTTTTTTTTCTTTTTTTTCTTTTCCTCATTCCACCCTAAAATTTATTTCTTTTTTCTGTCCTCTCTCTCCAACTCA